ATTCATTCTCATGATAGTGATAATCATCCCTATATGGAGTTCGTAATAATTGTGTGTGGATGGATGGTAACAGCAGTGTTTCCTTCTCCTTCTCTCTCTGTGTGAGTGTGTGGGATACTTTGCTTCTCTTTGTTTGTTTGTTTGTTTGTTCTCTTCTGTATACTTCCCATTCATTCATCAATCTTTATCTATCTATTTATATATCTATATATATATATATAGAGAGAGAGAGAGAGGGATACTGTATGTATGTATGGATATTGAGCCACATACACTGGTAATGGTATACACTTCCAAAGAACGTATTTATTTATTTATTTTATTTATATAATTTTTTATTTTTACTTCGGTATAGTGAATGATCAATTTTTTTTTTTTGCTTTCTGCACTATCCACTTCTTTTTTTCTTCTTTTTGTGGTTTTTGGTTGAAATCCATTTTGTTGTATTGTTTGATTTATGCTTTTTTTCTTTTTTTTTTATTTCTCACATACTGTGCGTGGACTCTGTATATATATATATGTATATCTGTATATATATACATTTGTCTGTTAATGTGGGCTTATTATTTACAAAGTGTTATTTATTTCATACCTGTTGATGGACTGAGAAGGAATGTATAAGGGAGAGAAATATATATATAGATATATATATATATATATATATATATATATATATATATATATTTATTTATATATCAATATTAGAGAGAGGGAGAATCTTATCTATATATATATATATATATATATATATATATTTATCTATGTGTGTAAAGTATATTTTGAGGATGTGCAGTCATGGCGGGCTGGGTGTATTTACATGGCGATGTGAATACCCACATCATCATTGATCCTCTACATCTCTACAACTATCTATCTATGGATCTAAACTATCTAAATAACTATCTCTTGGGTTTGTACAGATAGTTTGGTTTGGTTTAGTTAAATAAATAGATAAATAAATAGATGCGTGGTGGTTGGATACGGATGTCTCTCTCACTCTCTCACTTCTTCTACGAGTATATATATATATATAAGTGAGAGAGAGA